TGAAGCATCATCCCATACACTAAAAAAGGTTGTGCTTTCAATTCCCAGTCAGGGCACATAGCTGGATTGTGGGTTTGATCCCCGGTCATGGACACATACAGGAGACAAGCAGTTAATGTTTCTTCTCTTCCGTCTCCCTCTCCCTATCCCTCTCCCTCTCCTTCTCCCTCTGATCAGTGAAAATATCCTCCAGTGAGGATTAAAAATAAAAAAATAGCCCTGACTAGTGTGGTTCTGTTGGCTGGGCACTGTTCTGGAAAGCAAATGGGTACTGGTTCAATTCCCAGTTAGGGCATATTACCTGGGTTACAGATTCTGTCCCTGACTGAGGTGTGTGCAAGAAGCAATGGATTGATGTTTCTCTCACACATCAATGTTTTTCTCCCTCCCTTCCCCTCTCTCTAAAAAAATAAATTAAAGAAGTAAATAAATAAATAAATAAATGGCAAGCAGGGAGGGAGGGAAGGAATGAGAAAAGGGGGAAAATCCATATAAATAAATATTTATTTGTCTGAACATTTTTTAAAAATGTGAGGAAGGATGTACACATACACACGAAACCCTTAACGTTGGTTACCTCAGAGTATGTGCAGGGGAACACCCTCAAAGATTGACTTCTATTTAAGATTGTGAATAAAAAGGGGGTTCCATGGAAAGTGACCTCGTAGAATTATATAATCATAAATTCCTAACTGGGCAGGTCATGGTGGGTAGTCACACTTCTTTAGTAAAAAGCTTATCTGCCTTAAGCAAGCCCTGTCCATTCTATCTGTGCATCTATGTTACACACCTTTGAAATGTCTCTTTCCAGACCTCCTTCTAAAATGCAACCACCCTCAAGAGAATAATCTTAACGATCCTGTAATCTGATCTCTGCCTTACTTTCCCCTACCTTCACGTAATCTCTCTGTTTGGTTTTTAATCTCAAATGCATAAAAGAAACTGGAAACTGTTATCCTCTGGAGTATTTGAGATCTTCCTCTCTGGCATATGTCCTCAGTTTGGTTCAAATAAAGTCTTATATACAGGTTTAGACATTTCTTATATGGACATTTATATAAGACAGTACGGCAAAATTCCAAAGGAACTCACCCAGGACTATCCCTTGGACCTAGGCCCAGTGCTAGGTACCAGCAAGGGCCCACTGTGCTCCATCGGTTCCCCACTTCACATCAGGTGAACCTGAGTGAGTTTTTTTCTTGGAATCCTGATCTTACCTGTTTAGGTCACAGTTTCTGACTTTGAGCAGTTCCTATGTGAATGTTTTTAATTTCAGCTTTTTAAAATTGGCTCAAAAGAAAAATTAAAATTAAGATGGGAAATCATGCCACTGAGGCCAACAAACTCCACAACAGCCAGCCTGTCTTTATTACTCTGGCATGTTTTATGTATAATACCTACAGAGCCTCAACTTGTGTTTACAGAAATGAGGAGGTTTAACTAAAACTTATATCAGCTTATGATGGCTGAAATATGGTTCTTTTTAGACCTCAAAATTAATTTTTCTGTTGTGCTCAGTTGGAAAAAGCAGGCTCTAAAATTGAATGGAATAAATGGGATGCTTCCCTTGACTGGAAACTAGAAGCCTCTAAAAAGAGTGTAGATAAACTTTCTTCTTTTCAGGAACTTAATAGGAAAATTTTAATGACTGTCTTTGAACTCTCAGATAAAATCTCTTCTCTTCAGGTAGTAAGAAACTTTTAGAAACTGTCTTCTGAACAAAAGAAGGCTCCTGAAACTGCTCAAGGCCAATACCCCACATCCCTACTTCTCCAACTGCCCATTACTTTCCGAGCTCCCTTTTCTGAACTCACCCTCCTTCCTCCTCCTCCTCTTCTCTCATCTCCACCACCACCCTCTACTGACTTAAGGGGAACTAAGAACAGAAAGCCAGTCCAGGAAAGGCTAGAAATTCTGGCAGCTGTCTTTTTAGAAAAAGCAGTCCCAACACAAGGGGAATCAGCAATAATTTACTCCCCTTGACTAAAGCAGAATTAAGGATTCGAACTAAAAATGTTCCTGACTTTCTCTAGACCTTGTTGGATTGGCAAAAGAATTTTATGTGTTAGAATATATGATCCTGGCTATTCTGACCTGTTCCAACTAACAGACCTATTGGTTTCTGAGAGCAAAGAAGCAGAATGGCTAGGTAAAGAAAACTCCTTTAGAGGATATTTTCTAACAAAGAGAAACGGACCGAGAAAAATGCAAGGAATTAGCCCACCAGCTTCACCAAGCCAGCCCTGAGATTTTCCCCTGGAAAACAGATTAGACAAAAGCCCAGCAATGAAGATAAAAACCTAATGAAACCATACTTGCTTTCTTTGATTCTTTTGAAAAATCTTTCAAAGAATATTCAGGATTTTCTCTAGACACTTTTAAGAATCATTAAAATGATTATAATGCTCCATTTGGCATTTCTGGAAGGAGTAGATGAGGAGTAATTCTGATTAAATAACATGAAATAAACTGGGCAGAGTCGTAAACTAGTGACTCTAGTCAATCAATTATTTAAATCTGTTCAAAAGGAAGAAGTGGATAAAGCTACTTGAAGCATTTATCTCAGTCTGTTGAGATCTTGCTTCCAGGTAGTATCCTCTGTTTGGCTCAAATAAAGTCTTACAAAATTTTTCTACAGGTTTGGATGGTTCTTACGTCAACAACGCAATCGTTGAGAGCAGAGCAAGTCCTCTAGATCTAAACCCTGCAATACCTTTTAGAAAAGGTTCCTTTATCATGTGTGTCATTAAACAGAGAACATAACCATAGAAACCTAAAAGCAATTGTGTACCCGAGATGTCTTATACTAACAGACTGCTGACTGCCCCTGTCCTTTTTATTCTTATTTTAGATAGGTTCTGGTCTCTCTGCCCTGGTCTATACCATAAAAACCACAGTTTAGAGCATCTAACATTAACCTTCACACCACCAAGGACCAATACCACCCCTGTACTCACATATGTGGTTAAAAAAAAATTGGCGTTGGGATATGTGATATATAAGGAAGACACTGGGCAAATGATCAATTCTAATTTCTATTTGATGTCATACTCTTGGTGATGGTAAGTTTACACAAGTGTACCATCTTCTACGAAGCCAACATCACAAGATCCCAACTCATGTAAAACACATTTGTAATCCCATTTATTTGCTATGTACTCCTATGAAACATGACTTGTTTTAATTGATAAGCACTTTTTTAGAAATATATTCATAGTGTTATCAAATCACCAATGACCCAACATTAAATTCTGTATTTATTTTTCCTCAAAAGGATAAAAACATAAAGAGACAGAGAAATTCAGAATTTTGTTTTAGGTTTTATTTATTTATTTTTAGAGAGTAGAAGGAAGGGAGAAAGAGAGGGAGAGAAACATCGATGCAAGAGAGGAACACTGATCAGTGCCTCTTGCACACACCCCAACCACGGGACCAAACCTGCAACCCAGGCATGTGTCCTGACTGAGAATCAAACCAGAGACACTTCACCTTATGGAATGATGCCCAACCAACTGAGCCACACAGGTCAGGGGAGAAATTCTTTTTTTTTTTTAATTTATCAAAATCTTTCTTGGATTCTTGCCAACTCACTCTTAGCCCCTCTTTCCCACTACTGTCCTTTTAACTAAGAGATCCATTAAAAATGTTCTCACCCGAGTTACACTCTACAGTAAGATGGATGTGTAGTGTAGCTGATAGTGGGTGTTGGCATAAAACTGACCTAAATGTTACTCCTGGCTGTGTGGTAGTAGTAGCTGTGTGACCTGGAGCAAGTGAATCTCTCTGTCTTGGTTTCCCCTGTAAAATAATATCTAATCATAGTTAACATATATATGGTGCTTACCTGTATCAGTCATTATACATTTAATCTTTGTAACACCCCCTAGAGGAAGAAACTATAGATGAAGCAACTGAGGCACTGGGAGGTTGAGTGACTTCCCCAAGGGCACACTGCTAATGAACTGCAGAGCCAAGATTGTAATGCAGGTTCCAGAGTCCAGGCTCTAACCACCACATCTACAGCCTCTCCAAATGAGGGTATAACTACTAATGGCTGTTATGAGGGCTAAATGAGATGATGTCTATAAAGCCCAATACCTGTACTTGACAAGTGTCTGATAGGTAGCAGCTGTGTGTGTTACAGATTTTTCCTTTTACACTGAGAAATCTGCAAGGTTTTGTCTTGGGGTAGAAAAAAAAAGTTGGATGAAAGAGAACAGAAGCCAGGGGAGAAAGGGGTGAGGCAGAATATGGAAGGGAAATAGTGGGGTTGTGGGGGAGAAAGAAACTGTCTACTATCTTTTAAGGTTGTTTTGGCTAGTCTAATAGTCAAATCGACATAGACCAATTAACAAGAGAAAATAAATTTAATTACATACATATGTATGGGAACTTCACATACATGAGAGAGACACACACCCCCCCCCACACACACACACACACGAGGGGGTCAGAGACAGAACGGGAAAATGAGGTGTATATGACATTCTCAGCTAAGGATGAGGTAAGGCTCCTTGGGGCTTCAGAAGGGAGGAAGGTCATTCCCAGGACACTAAGAAGAGCAGGTATTCAGTGATTAGATGTTTGCCCTGCTGTGTAGATACGTCAAAAAAAGTCATTTCTGATTAACTCAGTATGGGCAAGGTCCCTAATTTAAATTCTTTAAGGGAAAGAGAAAAGTTTCTCATGAGTCTGCAGGATCCGGTTTAGCCTTTATGTTAAAATAATCTGCACACCACAGAGGAACATTTTAGGGTGACTGGTTCTGAATCCTTACAGGGTATACAAGAAGACAGGCAGGAGTGAATACTTAGGAAACTGAGAAGTCTAGCTGACTGGGCCTAGAGAGAGCACAGTGACTCTTTTTTCAACAGCAAACAGAAACTTGCCAGCTGCAGAGCAGATGGCAAATCCGGGAGGACTTGGGCTGTGGCGGCCTCCTCCGCTCCACCCACCGCACCGCACCGCACCCCACCCCACCCCACCCCACCTAAGGCCGCCAGGGCTAGTTAGGCTTCCCGAGTTGGCCGCGCATCCGTGCCCCTGCGGGAGGGCTTCGTCTGCCCCGCTGCCGAGAGCCCGGGAGCCCCAGGCCTGAGACACTCCGAGTTCCGGTGTCCCGGGCCAGGGCTTGGCCGGCGGGGCGCGATGGCGACATGGCGGCGTGACGGCCGGCTGACCGGCAGCCAGCGGCTGCTGTGCGCTGGGCTGGCCGGGGCGCTCAGCTTGAGTCTCACCGCACCACTGGAGCTCGTGACTGTGCTAGCCCAGGTCGGCGTGGTGCGAGGTCGCGACCGAGGGCCATGGACCACAGGGCTCGCCGTGTGGCGGGCCGAGGGGCCCCGGGCCCTGTGGAAGGGGAATACGGTGGCCTGCCTGCGCCTCTTTCCTTACAGCGCCTTGCAGCTCACTGCCTACCGCAAGTAAGGGCCGAGCCGTGCTGGCGGGTGGGCCGGGAGCCGGGACCCTCAGAATTCCCGGGGTCAGGGCTCTGCCGTGAGCCCGGGCTGTTTTACTGTTTTCCTGATCGCATGGGAGACCCTCGGGGCACTTTGGCCGACAGGAAACGTCTACAGCCCCCAAAGCGCAGCCTCCAAGTCTGTCACGTGCTCTTGGCCAGGTGCAGTTTTGTGGGGGCAGCCCTAACCCAGGAAGACTCACCGGGTAGGACAGGTGAGGGGGTGGCATGTGGCAAAAGGGGATTTGGGGGATGGAGTGAAGAGACCTCCAGAAAGATGGCTCCTAACCATTCCCACCGTCCATCAACCTGGAAACTGCCTTGACTAGCCTAGGAGAGAGAGATCTGTTTGAAATGTGTGTATGCAACTGTGCCTGTGTGACCAAAGCCCGCAGAAAAAAAGTGGTTGGTAGGACTAGAGGATTCCCTCCATTGCCACACGACAGGCTACAGGTTTCTACACAGACAAACAGCCCCCCAAATGAAGCTTGCCTTTAGGGTCCAACACCTCCCCATGCTATACTGCTCACTCCACACTCACTGCCCACCAGCTTTGCGCTTCTTCAACAGCTGCTTCTTAGGACTGGATAATACCAGATGAGTTTTCCAGCTTCCTCAAAACTCACAGCTATTTGCATTTTAACTGGAAACAAAACCTAAAACAGTGATGGAATTTCAGGAAAAGGAGATGCTTCTATGCTTGGAAGGATGGTCCCTGTGTTCCTCAGTGAGGATCACAGTGCAAACTCCAAAGACTGGCCTTGGTTCTGAATTAGATCAACAGCCCACAGCCTTGACCACATTGTTCAGCCTTGAAGGCTAACAGTCAAAGAATTTTGCCTTTGACTCTGGGAGGCCAGAGCTGGAAGGCTCATCTGGCAGCTGACAAGCAAGATGGAAGTGAGTCCTGCAGGCCAGAACTCATTCCACCTATCGCCTGGGAAGTAGGTTACGTTGTCTTCCTCTGAGAAGGGAAGGTACTGAGATCACCAGGCGTTTCTGTCAAGGCTGTCTTTCGAACCCAGCATTCCCTTGCCTCAGCAACTTCTGGCCTGAAGTCTGTAGACAGCTCTCTGAATTTTAATGACTCAACTTCTCCCCACTTCACTCTCTTCTCCACCAAGCCAGTATGTAAATCTTCCTTTGGAATGCATACCAGAGGAAGAAGACAGCTTCAAAGGCTGGTTTAAGAATTGTGGCTTTTCTGGTAACCACTTAATATATACATCATTAGATTTTTAAAACACCTTTATTGAGATATAATTGACATAAAAATTGTATACATTTAAGGTGTACAATTGGATATTTTGATATACATTGTGAAATAATTATCTCGATCAAGCTAATTAATGTATATATCACCTCCATATAGTCATTTTATCTGTGTGTACATACATGTGTACATACATGTGTACATCATTGAATTTTTAACACTCCTGCCTCATACCCTGTAAGGTTCATAGGGTGGGAAATATGTCCATTTTACAGGTGCAGAATGGGACACAGACTGGCCATACCATTCATTAGTGACATAGCTGAGTGCCACTACCTGGCTTTCTGATATCAAATCTCATACTGTATTACATCATGCTTCCTTTCTCTCTGCCTTTATTTGATTTTTTTAAAGATTTTATTTATTTATTTATTTTCAGAGAGGGAAGGGAGGGAGGGAGAGAGAGAGAGAGAGAGAGAGAGAGAGAGAGAGAGAGAGAGAGAGAGAAACATCAATGTGCGGTTGCTGGGGGTCATGGCCTGCAACCCGGGCATGTACCCTGACTGGGAATCGAACCTGGGACACTTTGGTTCCCAGCCCATGCTCAATCCACTGAGCTACGCCAGCCAGGATGCCTTTATTTGATTTTAATGTACTGAGTGTTCATTAAGTGCCCACTGTGTGCGTGATGCTGGGGATGAGGTAAGGATGAAAGCCACATGATCCCTGTGCCCCAAGCTTACAAACTAATAGAAGAATAAGACCAGTGTGTCCATAGTGTGTGATTTCCATGGTTAAAGTGCTATAGAAATAAACACTTCTGATAAGGGATGAGGAAGAAGAGAAGTACAGAATTCTCAGAGGAAAAAAATCCATCTGAGTTTGGTCTTAGGAGAATGAGTAGGAGTTTGCTGGGCAAAGATGGAGAGAAAGATATTGAAGGTAGTGTCAAGCACAGGGGTGGAAGGCATGCAGCATGACTGGAGCATAAGGTGTGTCTACAACTGTAATAGGAAGTACAGCCAGAAAAACAGGTTGGGATCAGATGTTGGAGGGCGGGGTTAAGGGGCTTGGACTTGACTTGGTATGCAAGGGTAGCTGTGAGAGATTTTTGGTGGGGGGAAATGCTGTGATTAAAGCAATTCAACAGTAATAATTGTCACCTGGAAGCAGGGTAGGATGACTACAGAGGAAGAAGACTGAGGGCAGATGGCAGGACCAGTTAGGAACCTATGGCACTAGTCTATGTGACAGCTGAGGGCAGCTGAAATACACTGGTGACAATGGGAGTGGAGCAGATTTGATCCATGGGAGAGGAAGAAGAGATAGTTACTCAGGTTTGCTCATTTTTTTCCTGCAAGATTTTTTTTTCTGGAAACTAAAGGGAAGTATTTCAGTGAATGGCTGGGTATAGATAGAAAGCAAAGTGGTTGATTAATCATGGTGCCATCCTTCCTATGTATAGACGATACCTTTGGTCCGTCATCATACTGATTCATCTCTACTCTTTCCTGACTGTGAATTTGCAAAATCATTGCGTGGGGGTAATGGTACAGCTTATGATCATAGATTTCAGCAAAGAATAAACATCTGCATGTTCAGAGAATGGAATGCAGTGGTTAAATAACTTGTCTACAAACACAATTAATGACAGACCTGGAGCTTGAAACCAGATCTTCTGTCTCCACAGTCCAGGACTGTGCTCACCATTGTGATACTGAAATGTGTGCTTACTTGGGTTAACAATCAAAAGAGTATGCTCGGGAGAATCTATTAGGCGCTAGGTACTTGTGATAAATAAATAATACCTAACACAATGCATGGCTTTCAAATATATCAAATAGCCCTCACCCAGCTTTATACCACCACTGCTTGTCTAACTGTATAAGCATTGATTTGGGTCCTTGCAGCTCTGAAATTGTTTATAAGCAACACCAACTCCTTATTGTGTAACCACTTCATGAGCTTGTGTTTGGCTGCTAACTTGTATTAGGTTGAAGTGTTGGCAGTTTTAACGACATATATCCAGGGTATGTGCAATATTTGTGTGCTTGAAAAGAATGGGTCACTGCTGCTCACCAGCTTATCCAGCCTCACTGGAAAAAACTAGCACGCATGTGTGTGGGGGTTGGGGGAAGAGCAGAAAGGGGAACATTGGTGTCCTGGCCAATCAAACAAGAACCTAAAATGTGGGGACCAGGGTGAGATCAAAGGCTTATTAGGGTTGCCTGCCTTGACTCTGTGATTCTAAGGGGAATGATAAGTGGTCATTGTCTCTGTATCAGGTGGTCGGTGTCTAAGAAGGGACCTCATTTGGTTCTTTTTAAATTTTGTGTATTTGATAGGAAGAACTGATTTTATAAGGCAATCTGATATAAGACAGTTCCTCTTCCTAGCTCATCAAGTTAACCAAAAGTGTATTTCCTCTCCCGTTGCCCTTACCAGTCATTTCCTTAGCAGGACTGTTGAACTCTCTTCTGATCTATGCTGAGTTTTAGTGCAGTGTCTGGCACATTGTAGACATTCAATAAATGGATAATGAATTCATTAGTGCCCCAGAAGTGGCCAAGTGGGATAGGGAATAAGGGTGAGGCAATGAGAATGAATGGTGTTTCCTTTGGCATTTCAAACTCCATGTTTTTCTAGGTTGTTCTACCTTACTGTGAACCATTCCTTCAGTCAAGCATTTTCATTTCCTCAATCTTCCCTTCCTCTTCTAAGGTCCCCCTGCCCCAACCCCACCAACTTGACTGGCCAGAGGAGAGAGGAGTGAGAAACAAGGAAGTATGCAGTCAGTGAAACTGAGGCAAATGGCCCGTTGATGGTAGCCAGATCTAGTTACCTGGATCTTTAAAAGGTAGATGGTTAACTCAGACCACTGTTTCAGTCAGAACAGTTAAGGTACATTAACAAAATGAAGTCAAGATTTTCCTACATCTTGAAGGAGATGCTTTTTTTAAAAAAACAAGAAATCATTGAGTTTACTTGAGAACAAGGAGCCATCCTAGAACCCCTTCAATAACTGCACCTGCACACCCACTCATCTTATTTAGGGCCCTGGTTTGCTGCCAAACTGAAGGAACAGGGAAGACACCTTTTCACTGGAGGTTTGAAAGTCAAAGCACTAGGGATATTCTCAGTTTTTTAAAGATACAATACTTTTATTTTAGCCTAGTTCTGTTCACTTTCCTTTTATTCAAACCCTTACTATCCCTCTCCCTCTCTCCCTCCCCACTCTCTGGCACAAAATATTTATTTCCTGGTTTCCAAGTCATTTTTTATCTTAAACTCATAAGCAAGATGGAGTAAAATTCCTTTGCTTCCTGTTCCTGACCAGGGAACATAGGTCATGCAAATGTCCCCTTATAACAATTTCTCCCCATGTAGGCCCTTATGCCTGGAGATGTGCTGCTCCCCAAAAGAGGGATTGTAAAAGAATAACTTTCTATTTTGTATTTGGAAAAGTCCACCCAAAGCCATTTTTTTACTACATTGTAAAACTGCAGAGAAACACAAAAAATAACATAGCAAACCCCCACCATCCAGAAATGACAGCATGATAATTAGTATAAAAGATACTTCAATATCTTTTTAATACAAGAAATAAAACATCGCCCTGGCTGGTGGCTCACTGGATTGAGTGCTGGCCCACAAACCAAAGGATCACTGGTTCCATTCCTAGTCAGGGCACATGCCTGGGCTGCAGGCCAGGTCCCTGGTGGGCGTGCCAAGGAGCTACCACACATTAATGTTTCTCTCCCTCTCTTTCTCCCTTCCTTCCGCTCTCTCTAAAAATAAATAAAATCTTTTTTAAAAAAGAAAAGAAATAAAATATCATAGATCAAACTGCAGCCCACTTCATTCTCTTTCCCAGTTCATCCCCTCTTCCACCTTCCAGGAGGTCTATTTTACACTTTTTTATAGCTATCTGTAACTGTCCATGAGTAATATAAGGTATGATTTTGTGGGTGTGTTTCTTAATTTAAATAGATCTTTGTCATAGACTATAGGTCACTCTGCAACTTTCTTTTTTCACTCAACTTTATGATTTATTTATGTTAATACATAGTTCTAAGCCCATTCATTTAAACTATATAGTATCCATTGTATGGCTATACTGTAATTTATCCATTTCCCTACCAATGGTCATTTAAATGGTTTGACTTTTTCACACTTACAGATGCTGTTTGTGTCTTCATATGTACATGTACAAGAATTTCTCTAGGTTATGCATCTAGAAAGGGAATTGCTGAGGTAAAAGTACACATGCTTTCAATTTTACTAGATACTACAAAATGGCCATACCAATGTGCACTTCTACAAGCAGTGGGTGAGAGATCCTGTTTCCACTCATCCTCACCATCACTTAATATTATCCAACTTTTAATCCTTGTCAGTCTGCTAGGTGAGAAATGGTATCTTGTTATTGTTTTTATTCGTCATTTCCCTGACAACTAGTGGGGTAGCACATCTTCTAATTAACCCAATATATTTTAAAACTCAATTTCTGGGGAATTTCAAAGTCATCATTTCAAGCAATTTCGTTTCTTTTAAGTTTCAACAGAAGCAAAGGAGTACACTACGCTTTAGTACTTACTAAGTACTTATGCAAATTTACACCACACAGGCAAGCCAGAGTTGAGTTACGTGGATAAAAGGGGGAAATACTTAAAGTGAAGTGGGAAGGACGTAAGGGTAGCTATAAATAAGAGGGCTGGGCATCTCTTCCTTACAGCTAACTAGAATTATACAAATATAGTGGAGTTAATGTGTTATTCATTAATCCTAATTCATTAGCATGGTAGTTTTCATTTTGTAAATCATTTTCAAATGCTGGAAGATGTTTCAAGTAGTGTCGAGCACTCTAGCACAATCCATAGCTGACTCCCTTGGGCTTTCCCCCTGTTTTCTCCCAGGTTTGTTGTACTCTTCATGGATGACCTGGGCCATATTTCCCAGTGGAGTGCCATCGTGGCTGGAAGTCTTGCAGGCATGGTTTCCACCATTGTGACATACCCTACAGACCTCATCAAAACGCGCTTGATTGTGCAGAATATGCTGGAACCATCATATAGGGGGATCCTCCATGCTTTTTCTACTGTTTATCAACAGGAAGGATTTCTGGCTCTTTATCGAGGGGTTTCCCTTACAGTTTTAGGTAAGAGAAATTTTCACCTTGTCCAAGGAAAGGCTGCATTCTTTGACATATATGAATGTACTGTGTACCTTTATAGCCAGTTAAATCCATTTTATTGAGGTCAATGGCATATGGATTTAGTCCATATAGAGCCACTTAGCTTCATTCTATTCCATAGCTATACAGCCCACTCCTAACTTTGGCTTGTCACATCCCAGAGAGGGGTGGAGGATAGAGTGTAGAGGTGGCTATACCCAAACTGATTGGAAGACAATGCCATACATTCCCCATCCAATTGTGGGAAGGAGTCTCAGTGTGCATATGTGCATGTATGAGCACAACCAGGGTAGCAGTTGTAGCTTCTATGGTCTTTGGAGCCTGTGTCAAGGCTACACACACACAGGTCACCCGGGACCTCCAATGGCCAATCCAGTAGACATTTGCCCTTTATCTGACCTTTGTTGCAACATATGATGAGATTGATCACTCCTTCTTCTGGAAACTTGGCTTCTCAGACCCCACTGTCTCCTGGATATCTTCCCCGTCTCTCTGGCAGCTCTCTCTTATCTCACTTATCTGGCTCATCTGACACTGCTAGTCCCCTACATTATCACTATCCCCCCAGATCCTTCCTTAACTCTTCTTTCATTCTCCATACCCTCCCTAGGTGGCCTCATCTAAGCTGTGGCTTAAACAAGCATCATTGTACTCTAATGAACCCCATAATAATTTCTTTGTTTTAAAGATTTTATTTATTTTTAGAGAGAGGAAAATGGAAGAAGAAAGAGAGGGAGGCAAATAGTGATGTGAGAGAGGAACATTGATCAGTTGCCTTTCCTTTGCGTTGCCTCTCATACACGTCCTGACCAGGGACAGAGCCTACAACCCAGGCATATGCCCTGACTGGGAATCAAACCAGTGACCTTTTTTCTTTGTGGGACGATGCCCAGTCACCTAAGCCATACTGGTCAGGGCCCAATATCATTTCTATAGTAACATTTATAGGTGTTAACTGTGTGCCAGATAGTGTGCTAAATGCTTTCCATACAAGTTGTCATTTAAGCCTTATCTTACAGATGAGGAAATAGATATTTAGGGAAGCTAAGTGACTTCCCCATAACCACATAGATAGAAAGTGGAAGAACCTAGCAATATAACACCAGAGCCCTCTTTCTGAACCACTGACTGCTACCAATTCCCTATGGCAGTACAAATACCTACTATTGGACACCCTCACCTGATGCTCCCTTGGCTCATAAAACTCAAGATTAAACCCAGTGTCATTAATCTCACACCTGCTCTCCTCTTGTGCTCCCTAATGAATGAGACACCTTTCTTTCACCCAGTGGCCCAAGCCAGAAGAAACCTAGGCTCACTTCAACTCTTCCCCTGATTCCACTCTCACTTTAGTCAGCAAATGCTGTCAAGTTGACCTCTTTGAACTCACCATCTATCCCCCTTCTCCAGCTCCATCTCCTCTGCCCTAGGTCATACTCGCATCACCATCTTTTCCATAGACACTTACAAGAGGCTCCTCCTGCCTGTTCCCAGTCTTGGGTCTCTCCTGCCCCGGTCTGCCCTGTGCACTGCAGCCAGGGTGTGGTGATCTCTCTAAAGGCAAGATGATTGTTTCACCACCCTCACTCCACTGCCCTGCTCAAAAGCCTTCACTGCCTCTTAAGCTGCAGGGAAAAGCCCCAATTCTTTGTAGCCTACCAGACCCTTCAGAACAGCCCGTCCTACCTCCTCTCCTGTCATACCTCCACCTGCACTGATGCTCCAGCCATACAGAAATACTCGCATTTCCTGGAAATACTACTTACTCCCTTTGTTCATGCTGTTTCTTCTGCCTGGACTGCCTGTCCACTCTATGTCTGGTGAACTCCTACTCATTCCTCAAGACTCAGTTGAGAAGTTCTCTTTTCTGTGAAGTCCTTCCTGATTGCCCCTCCGGCAAAATTAACCCCTCTGATCCTAGCGTACCTAAAGCACTTTGTATAGCGCCCCCCACCCCACCCTTATGTCACCTATCTGGGGCCTTACCACTAGACGGCGAGCTTCTCCAGGAATTAGCCTACCCTTTTTTGTATTCCTGCACCTGCCCTAGGTCCCAGCACATAGCATAAACTGCATGAATGTTTTCTGAATGAAGGCAAATGGTTCATCATTTTTAATGTGTTTATTAAATATAAATATTATATTATTCTGAGGACAAGCAACCCCTTTGTGTTATCCACTCTTTTAAATCCCCTTTTGAAGGAGACACTTAGTCCCTCTGTAAAATTAACATGATTCCCAAAGTTTCTGGAAGTTTGTGAAAGTGTTGCCTACTATACTCCTTGCTCACCATATTTTCCTAGAAAGCTGAGGATGCCATACAGTGCACGGTGCCCACTGGACCCTGAGACAGCCACATCATTTCCAAAGACAAGGTCAAGTGACCTCCCTCACCACTACAGTCTCACTCTCCAGTTTTCACAGAATGTTTCCTTCCCAGCTACAGACCAGTCCCTCTTTGTCTCCACAAGTTGATTAAGTGCAGCCTACTTTTTCTTATGAGACTTATTTTCTTTCAATATTTTTTATTTTTACAACTTTAAACACCCAGAAAAGTTTAATAAACTAGTAAACGCCCAGCCCTGGCTGGTGTGGCTCAGTGGATTAAGCGCCAGCCTGCGGACCAAAGTGTCACTGGTTTACTTCTCAGTTGGGGCATATGCCTGGGTTGCAGGCTGGGTCCCTGGCTGGGGACATATGAGAAGCAACCAATTGATGTATTTCTCACACATTGATGTTTTTCTCCCTCTCTTTCTGTTGGTCTAAAATAAATTTTTAAACAATTGGAAACACCCATATACCCACCACCTAGATGCTACAATTAATATTTGGCTTTATCATGTATATGTCCATCTATCCACCCCTCCAGCATTCATCAGTCCATCATACACACACACACACACACACACACACACACACACACACACAAAGATGTTATTTATATTTTTGGAGAGAAGGAAAGGGAGAAAGAGAGGGAGAGAAACATCAATGTGTGGTTGCCTCTTGCATGCCCCCAACTGGGGATCTGGCCCACAATGCAGGCATGTGCCCTGACTGGTGATTGAACTAGTGACTTTCTGGTTTGCAGGTCAATGCTCAACCCACTGGGCCACACCAGTCAAAGTTATTTTTGATGATTTCCATATAACTTGCAAATATCAATATACTTCACCCCTCAATTCTTCAACATGTATATCATAAACAAGGTTAGAGTTCAATATTTGTTTTTAAAGTAAAATTTACATAGACTAAAAGTATGCAAACCTTTTGCAATTCATTTGATGCATCTTGACAAATGACACAACCCCTATCAAAACAGAGCACGTTGTTATTACCCAAGAAAGTTTCTTCCCGCTGCTTCAGCTGGAGTGATTTTAACAAGCCCAGAGAGGGTCTTGTTTACTTGCCCTGGATTCCCCATAGGCATTTATGTTCTCAAGCCAGTGTTTCCCTAGACGTCAGCAGCCTCTTCCTGGCCTTGTTTTGCAGGTGCTCTCCCTTTCTCTGCTGGCTCCCTTCTAGTTTACATGAACCTGGAGAAAATCTGGAATGAACCCCGAGATCGCTTCTCTCTCCTCCAGAACTTTGCCAATGTCTGCCTGGCTGCTGCGGTGACTCAGACCCTCTCCTTTCCCTTTGACACGGTGAAGAGGAAGATGCAGGTGAGGAGTGATTTTGGAGGGGGTAGTGGAGGGATGCCTTGCAGTGTTGGTGGGTGGGTAACGACAGTAGAGAACACTGACCCTGAGCAATGTCAGGTTTCCAAGGAGATTGTGACTGCTCACACCAGTACTGTGCAAATTCCCACTCCAGGCCATTTCCACTGCTAACCTCAGGGCTATTGGCTCCAGCTCAAACTATTTCATTCCCATGCTCTGCTTTTTTTTAGGGCTTTTATTACTCCTCCAGATGAGGCCCAATTTTCTTTTCTCTCTTCCTCTTAGCTGCTATCTCCTGTGACATCATTGAAACCCCCTGGCTCCCTCTCCCTGGGGCCTCCACAGAGAGGAGGAGAGGGCACTCTTTCATTACCACCCCTTACCTCAGTGAAACAGACTGGAAAGAATGAAAATAAGCCAAGAGCTACTCGATGACCAAGCTCCAATAGTCCCTGAGTCCCTTGCTAAGGAAGTAACTACATTTGAAAAGGATTGGTGTGTTGGTGGGACTGGACCTTCATTTTCCTAATTGTTACCTGGGAAACTCACATTTGCTCTATAGGCTACAGAGACAACAGCCTGGTACCTGAGAGCCCAAAGTGAGTAACTGGCTTAGCCTAGAATCACCCAATTTTGATTTAAAAAAAAAATCAGTGGGCCAAGTAAGGTTGGGGGTTACAAGCAGGTCTTCACAGTGAGGGTAGGTTCAGAATGGAGAACTCTGAGGCTTTGTATTTGCCTTTAACCCTACTTGCTCTCTGATAGCCTCCGTAAAACTCCAGTCCACAGATTTGCTTGACTCCCTGGCCTTTTCTGGGCAAATCTTGATTTCTATGATTAATACATGTTCCTGAAGAGATGCTTGGATATTAATGTGGGGTAAGTTGAGTCCAGTTTTAAATGATCGATCCCAGCTGAATTCATTTTTCCACACGTCTGTAACTTGTTCCTCCGCAATCTTAGTGGCCCCTGCCTTCCCTTCGGTGGCTTTCTTGGCTGGGCTGGACCCCACTTACCTCAGCACTAAAAAGCCTGAAGGACCCTGACTGGGTAGTTCAGTTGGTTAGAGTGTCATTCTGATACACCAACATTGCCGGTTTCATCCCCAATCATGGCACATACAACAAGCAACCAATGAATGCATGAATAAGTGGAGCAACAAATCAGTGTTTCTGTCTCTCTCTCTCCCCTTTCCTCTCTCTTTCTAAAATCAATAAATGAAAAAATATGTACTTTAAAAAGTGTAAAGGTACTTATCTCAACCTATAAAGAAAAGCTGCCTTCAGAATAACACACATCACAATGACATTCAGTTCTGCTTCAGTCCACCAAACTTTTCATCTGTCTGGGTTGTGTTCCCTTCCTGTGCTTTGTCAAGAGAAATAAATAATTGTCACACTGTTGTAATTGTAATTATTGTAATTGCAATATAGATGTAAGTTCAGAGCCTGCTCAGTGCATGCTTATTTGTAATGCATCATTCCTAATTTTAAAAGTACTGTACATAAGCTTAGAAATGGTTAAAATGGTCAATTTTATGCTATGTTTTGCACAGATTATAGAAAGGTATGAAAAAGAAAACAATAATTATTTATAAGCCCAACACATACACACTATAATAATTAATAGTTTTTATTTTATGTATATTTATGTGTGTGCATGTGCATACATGTGGGTGTGCATAAATATAAAATATATGTAATACATGTATATGGAAGGTTTTTTTCACAACACTGTGTTCCTACTGTATATAAAAATTAGTATCCTGCTTGTTTCACTTCTTATATAATAGATATTACCCTAGGCTATCAAGTGTTGAGAACTTCTTTTTAAATTATCACATAATTTTCTACCCTGTAGATGTGCCACAAATATTTTTTAAAGTAACAAATATTTATTCTCAAAGTTCTGGAGGTTGGAAGTTTAATATCAAAGTGCTGGTGAGGCCATGCCCCTTTTGAATGCTTTAGGGGAGGATCCTTCCTGTCTTTTCCAGCCTCTGGTAGCCCTCACAGTTCCTTGGTTTGTGGCAACATAACTTCCATCTCTGCCTCCATCATGCCATAAATAGCAGTTTCTCAGGGTTTTTTTTTTTAATATTTAGGCTGTTTCTGATTCTTCAGTAAAAACCCTTGTATGTTTTCACATTTGTGATGACACCTTTCAGCTGTATTCCTAGAAATCAACTTACAGGTCACAAGATAAAAATAATTCTAAGGTTCTTAATGACGTTTGCACCCTAGCAAGGTTGTAAGTTTACACTTGCACCAACAGTAAGAGTGGTTCACCTCAACTCTCATCAACAGTAATTACTATCACTTTCTAAAGCCTTGGGAACCTAATAGCTGACAAATACCATTACATTGTCTTCATTTGAATTTCATTGATTACATAAGCAAATTGTACATTTTTCATATATAAATAGGCCCTTTGTATTTTTTGGGAACTACTCTCTTTATGTCTAACACCTATTTATCTAGGATATTCAGCTTTTTCTACTGATTGGTAGGAAGTCTTTATATGTTAAAGATATTAACCCTTTCCCATATATTACACGTATTTTTCCCAGTTAGACATTTGGTTTCTGATGCTATTTATACACTATTGTTATTAGACATGTTTTTTAGATTTTTATGCCATTACATCTATTACTGTTTTTTGTTTCTACCTTTGCTTTTCTGCATAAAAGCCCTGCCCCACAATGATAGGATTATTCATCAATATAGATCTTTTAAAAAAAATTTTAGTTATTTACTTTTAGAGAGAGGGGAAGGAAGGGAGAAAGAGAGGGAGAGAAACAGCAATGTGCAAGAGAAACATTGATCAGGTGCCTCTCACACGCCCCCTACTGGGGACCTGGCCCAGAACCCAGGCATGTGCCCTGACTGGAATCGAATCAGTGACCCTTTGGTTCACAGGCCAGTGCTCGATCCACTGAGCCACACCAGTCAGGGCTGTAATACCTTTTAATAGGTGGCAGAACACCTCCCTTCTCATTGCTCTTCTTTTCAGCATTTCCTTGATTATTCTCAGTCATTTGTTTCTCCTGATAAACTTTAGAATTACCTTGTGATTATGAATGGAGTTATGTCAAACCTACAAACTTGGAATAATTCATATAAGATATTTTGTCTTTTACTTAGGAATGCCATATATTTCTCTTAGTTTCAGTCATCTTTCTTTAGATTGAACTATATAAAATTGCCAATATTCTACCATTGTTAAATGATTTTTTAAAATTTATTGATTTGAGAGAGAGAGAGAAAGAGATTTGTTTCACTCATTTATGCATTCATTTGTTGATTCTTGTATGTGCCCTGACTGGGAGTAGAACCTACATCCTTGGCATATTGGGACAATGCTCTAGCCAACTAAATTACCCAGCCAGGGCTAATATTCTACCTTTATCTTTTTGACATACTCAAATGGTAATTTCATATGGTTCAACCCTTAGAAAAATTGATTTCTTCATGTGGTAATTATGTTTTCTCTTTAGAAAAAGATAGCTTTTTAAAAAACAATGTCAGGGAAAGGTTTATTAGGAAAGATTTATGATATACCAGAAGCTTTTTATTCATTTTTTAAAAACCCTGGCCCTAAGAATTTATTTTACTGTCTGGAGTGAGAATAGGCTCTCATTGGCTGAGCATCAGAAGCTGGATGGAACAAAAGCTACTTATAGCACTGGCTTCCATGCTTTGAGGATCACTTTTTGAAATAGTTGAGCCAGTCTATGACCATACTACCCTGAACGTGCCTGATCTCATCTGAAATAGTAGAGCCAGAGGCATCTCTCCAATACTTTCTGCCACCTCTTATAATTTAGTGTTCCTTACACATCGTTTAAGGCTTTGAGCCTAGTGGTAGGGGTAGTCAATGGAAAAGGTAAAATTCTGGGACCAGTTCGTATGTGTGAGATTTTTCCCCCCCGTATCAATCAGTTCTCCAACACCAGCTGGGTGTCCTACAATGGAACTCATTTCTTTTTTTTTTAAGATCTTTTATTTATTTATTTCCAGAGAGAGGGGAAGGGAGGGAGAAAGAGAGGGAGAGAAACATTGATGTGGAGAGAAACACTTATTGGCTGCCTCTCTCACACCCCCCAACCAGGAACCTGGCCTGCAACCCAGGCATGTGTCCTAACTGAGAATCAATCAGTGACCTTTCACTTCAGGATAACACCCCATGCACTGAGCCATACCAGTCAGGGCTCAACTCAATTCTGATACTATCTACCTGGAGATAGCATCAGATCACAGGGTAAGAGCTTAACTCCATAAGACAGCCACCCCCTCTTCAGATGCCAATCTCAAGTCCAAGTGCTTCTGACTGATTGGCTATAAATCAGAGGTTCCCAGGACCCCATCCTTGAGTTGACTTAATTCACTAGAGCAGCTAATAAAACTCAGGAAACCAGATTACTCACTAGATTACCAGTTTATTACAAAGGATAATAAAGGATATGAATCACCAGTCAGATGAAGAGATTCACAGGGCACAGTCCCAAACAAAGGAGCTTCTGTCCCCATGGAATTTGGGACTTGGCACTATGGCACCTGGATGTGTTCTGCTTCGCCAACCTGGAATCTCTCTGAGCCCTGTGCTTTTGGGGTTTTATAGAGGCTTCATTACATAGGCATGATTGACTAAATCATTAGCCATTAGTGACTGATCCATGCTCCAGCCCCTCATCCCTCCCAGGAGGTCAGGGAAGTGGGACTGAAAGTTCAGCCTTCAATCACATGGTTGGTTCCCCTGGCAACCAGCCTCCATTCTTTGGTGTCACTCCAAAAGTCTTCTCATTCACATAAGCTTAGGTGCGGTTGAAAGGGGATTGTTATGAATATCAAGACATCTTCATCACTCTCATTACTCAGGAAATTGCAAGGGTTTCAGGAGCGCTGTGCCAGAAATGGGGATGAAGGCCAACTATATATATATATATATATATATATATATATATATATATATATATTTCTTATTATGTCATAGTATCACAGAGG